TTATCTTTGATGCTTCGGATTTACTGTGTAAGCTTTATCTCTGAGAGTTTCAGGTTTCGTTGAACTTAGTTTTGAGCGGTTGGAGAGTCTGTAACGTAGGGCTTTTTCATGGCTGGGAGGGAGACATGAACAAGCTATTGCTACAGTAGGTTTCGGAACCCTCAAACCTAATCCCCCAGCCCTAAACCCAATTCCTACAACCGGAAGACCTAGACCTAACATACTGTTGATGATATAAATCCTGCATTACCTTAAGGACCCTAAACTATGGGAGTATGGTATGTTCCTTATTATGGGTAATGCAGGATTGATATCATCAACCGTACGGGTCGGAATATTTAGTCAAAGCATATCCCCTTAAAGATATACTGTAATACACTCCAAGCCCTATTCCCTATTCTACCTAAGAAGGCTCCTTTGATAACCCTGAAAGCCAAGACCCGAAGCGCTGAAACCCAAAGTGCTAGAACTCCGGTCCAAAGAACTCCCACCCAAAAGCCCAGGCCGCAAGTGCCAACCCGTAGGGTTTTGGGTTTTGGGCTTAGGTACCCTAAACCCTAAACCCTTAAACTCTACAACTCGGCTACGCCTCACACAATACGGGCGTCAGCCTGTCACCTCCTGCACCGTTGTGTTGGCAACCTAGCTTCTCGTCAAGCGGCCGGCACAGTCTGCGAGGACCCACAACCCCACACTAATCCATCCCAGCTGTGGTTTGCTGCAAAACGCGCCTTTTTCGTGCGGAGCTGCGTGGGGCAGCAGAGAGCAAGAAAGCCTCCCTTTCGGGGGGTTTGGGGGGTGAGCTCTAAACCCTAATTATTCCTAATTGAGAATAATTTGGGCGGTTGGGGCGGGACTACATGCTGACGCGAGCGCGCGATAAGCCCTCTTCCTAAAGTAAAAGGCGCACCCACGCGGGCGCACCGTGTACGCACCCCAAACCCTGAACCCTAAACCCTAATCCCTACACCCTACACCCTGAACCCTTAACCCTTAACCCTTAACCCTAAACCCTCAACCCTGAACCCTTAACCCTAAAGCCTAAACC